AGTGGAGAATACCAGTTGGCTGGCCAAATCCTTATATTTTTTACAGGCTTGAACCGTTGCTATACAGTCCCCTGCGAATATCTGTGTTCGACAGTCAGAGTGGCTCGGGCCGCGAGATGCTGAAACGCATCGAGGTCAAGGGAGCTGATTTCTTCTCCGCCGCGGTGCGCGAGATGGAGCTATTTGCATGGGAATGGGCGATCTGGGGAGTGCGATCGAAGAATGTCTGGTCGGATGCGGAGCTGGAACGCGTGCTCCGTCCCTGCACACGGGTACAAGAATTACTCCTCATCGGCGAGCTCCCTCCCCAGCGCATCCTTTCATTGCTCGCGAACAGTCGACCGAAGCGCTTGATTTTGGTTATGGACATGCAGGACCTTAGCCTCGACTTCGCGCCGCCCTTGTTTCAACAGCTCACTCACATGGTTATTGGCGAGTTTAACCGCAATGATGGTCTGGGCAACGTCATGTCTGACAACTGGAAGCACTGGCCTACCATCTGCCGCCTTCGCGCTCTCACTCATCTCGCCCTGGTGCACACCGCACCACCGAGTCTCATTCACAAAATCTGTAGAGACGCGCCGCAGCTCGAAATTCTCCTCTTCCTCGCCCAAGATGCGCGCGGTGTAGCTTTAGCTTCCGAACAGCTTATCCTCCACGATTGGAGGCTCGTTATTCTGGCACTCAGCGACCTCGAAGGGATAGACATGAGCTCACTTTCCCGCGGCATCAATACACTCTGGACTCAAGCCGACGAGTTTGTGGGCCGCAAGCGTCGAGGATTAATCGAACGTCTGTCTTTTCCTTTCACCATTATCTTGACTCATCTACATACACCAGCGGCTGATTATTACATGATACCGTCGCTTCCGTGCATCATTCACTCTGAAACGTACACAGGGGTTCATGATCAGGCACCTGAACCCACTTTACCCTCCATTCCTGTTCCATCAGACCCGGAGAGCCTTACTCTTCCAGATTCAGACTCGGAGCCGACAGTGCAGACGGAAGGTGGAATTGAACAGGACATGTCCAGTGAAGAGCCCGAAGTTTGGCTTCTGGACTTGGATGAATCTACTCACGTCGAGGTCCCGTTTTATGTCGTTTAACAATGCAAATTACTTCCCAGCACCGGTAATGCGGAATATCCTAGGGCCTAAGGAAAATCTCTAACAGGATTTTTGCTTTCGATGTAGGCGATTCAGCATGTTTCTTCCAGACAGACAGAGGTCCAACAGGCTTGGGTGGACGGGAGTCGTGTGATTTTATTCATTGAGTTACTCAAATAAGAATCAACAGGAAGCTAACTCAACCGCCATGGACACATGTCATGATATTTCTCGTTGAGCTTGATTAACCTGTCGTTAGGTTTGAATCCATCCCCGCGCTTCCACCTTGATGACACTCAGGTTTTGACCAAATCTTGATTTGAGGTGAGAGAGCCGGCGATACAGCACGGCCACGTAGTTCATCCAAACCACTTCTCCCACGACTCTGCAGAGTCTATAAAAATTCTTTCCCGTCAAGCTTGCACAGGAAAAGTCAACTGAGCTCGCAGTTCCCAATTTGCCAGCTTTTAGATGTCCAGAATATCCGCGGATAATCTTAAAGTTCGAGTTCGACGACTTGAATCTGCCGTGTTATTTTTGCTTCAAGTTCACACTGCCCACAATGAATAAATTCTATTCTGCCCTCAAAATCCATATAGTACCTTGAAAAAGTAAGCTGTTATTATATGGTGCTACATAGCAGATTTTCGGCCTCCCCCGACTTCAAGGAGCCCTATGCGTGATAATTAGCTGTATTCAGCCCTATCCAGACATCTAGAAAGCTGTTATATGATTCTGGATAATGGTTTGCTCTGGCTTTTAATTTACTGGAGTTGGGCGTGGGCATTGACTTGCAACGGCGTGAACGTTGACTCCTCCGACTATTCTGCATGGACATATGAAACACCAAAACTCTGTACTGTAGTCGTGATTTAATTACTGCACCATTAAGCACCTCTGGGATGCTCAAATTTGGTCGGTTATTAAATTTATGCATGGCATCCCCGGCGAGACTTCGGTTCATTTCAGAGTTCAAGCTTCCAATGCGAGAAATCAAATGTCGGGAAGAATGATCATTGCGGTGAAGTGGTGCTGAGATTTCTATTGCCTTCAGCTGTCAACTGGGTTCTATAGCTGGGCATGGGTGGCGGCAAGGCCGTTTATGGTATCTGCAAGCTCGGCTTGGCAGGTGTTTGAGTGCCCAGGGGCGATGGTGTATTTTCTAGTTCGCATTGTACACCGGGAGAACTCCTGGAAACCGGTGTTTGTTATTCGGACCGTGCCGTGTAATCATACCTACCTACCTAGCAGCTTTTAGATGTATTAATAGTGAACGTGGCGCCAAGACCCATTTGTGTATGTACAGTGACTTTCCATTCATTTTCCTTGTCGAAGTTGTATGTGCGTTGGATTACCGACTAGTTGGACTCGGATCAATGCGATTATTCAAAGAATGAAATCTATCGCGGAACAGCATACTTCGACGTTCATCAGCACGATCTGTAATGGGCTCAATTTCTACCGAACCTTTCACAATCCCGAAGGTTATCCAGAATATCGCAAGGATTTTTCAAATCGATCAAGCGATGGGTAGTATGGACAAATGTCCACGGGAGATTATTAGGTCCAAAACCTCGTCCGTGTGTGTAATTGTACGTTACAGAGAGCCCGAGTGCAAACTGTCAGACGCAAGAAAAAGACTCCACATTGCTCAGACCCAAAGAGCTCACTTCAATGGTAGTCAAGGCGTCCGCAACAGGGGCGGAGTTACCAGCGCAGTCGGCGTCTCTGCAACAGGAAGGCGGTCAGCTGGTATCCCGCGCAGACATATAGACACCCACTGGAAGATAGTGCATTCAGTACCAGGGGTGGTCAAGAAAACACTCCCAAATGTCAGGTCCGACGAGAAACGGGGAAGGTTTGCGCATCCGTCCGTGTTGGTGGGCTCTTGGAGACAGCCGAGGGTGGTGTTTGAGAAGCAGAGGTTCATGAGGTCGACGTCGGAGGTGCACAGGAAAGATTCAACGTTGGTGAGGCCAAGGGTACTCAGCTCCACGGTGCCGGAAGTATCCAGCACGAAAGGGGGGAGGAAAGGGCTACCAACGCAACCGCGCTCTCTGCATGCAGGACAGTTCAGCGAGGCAAGAAATTGGTGCACAAAAACTTACGGCGAAAGGATGCACTCAAGACCAGGGGCGTTCACTGAGACGGTCACCATTTCGCTGAACAGCGGAAGATCAACACATCCGGCAGAGTCGGAAGCGGTTGACTCGAAACAGGAGCCGTTTTCGAAGCAGAAGGTAACGAGGCCGTCTTCTCGTGGCAGCTGTGAACGTTTGTAAATTGACTAGAGACCCAACCCGCACGAAAGGACCGACGATGCTAGGGGTGGGTTTTGCGGTCGCGAATGCCGCGAGGACGAGAGTAACGAACGTGGTGGTGAAGGACATTGAGGCTGGAATCGAAGAGTGGAAGTGACTAGGATTCTGGGCGATTTTACTCACGCGAGCTCTGCTTTATACAATTTCTTGACGCGATTGATTGTTTGATACGCGATCGCGAAGGTGCATCCTTCCCACAGTTTCGGGCTTCCTCCATGATCGTCCCTTCACATACAATTAGCGAGACCGTTTCAGAGAAAAAGGCTGCAAAGAATGAAGATAGGCGTGGGCATCGTTCAGAATGCGGCTTTGAGGCTCGGACTCGGGTAGCCAACAAGTAAAAAACTGTCGAGAGAATGAAGAAAATTTTCGCACATAATTCAGCTGGCAGATCCGGACATGCCGTACTAAAATTGATCCTCAACTGATCCTTGGAAGCTTCTCCCGCAATTCAATGTCCGCGCTTAGGTATGTTGTCAGCCATGAGGCCAGAGAGCAGTATCAGTATCACAAACAATCCATCCGAAACATCAACCAACATCCCTATTCCACGAGGACAGTTGGAAACCCCTCTCAAGGAGATGGGTGAGTAGCCATGGGGCGACGCTCGAAAGCGGCTTGTTTCTGAAGTTGCGGCCCCAGATCATGCGAGATGAAGTCTCACTACGGCCAACCCGGTCGAGCCCCCTCGGCCAACCTAAATCAACCTTAGCCGACCTCGCTCAAGTCGGCCGAGGGGCCATCAAAATATGGTGCATCGTCTTATCCTACCCATTTTCTCTGTGAGGAACACACCTTCACAGCACATGTATGCGCATTGACTTCAATGTGAAAGGCTACCTACCAGCGCAACTATCACTTTCTGATCAATGTATCTGATTCCGCGCGTCTCCCATCGAACCGAGTCTACCAACCGCCGCAGCAATAATAGGTCCGAAGCAACACCTGGATCAATTCCATCACAGTGGATTCTATTGGCAGAAACCCTTCATCTGAAGAAAAATCTGATGCCAACTGGGTTGCTTCCCCTTCACTTCCAGTAGCTCTCACTTGTTTAGAATGTTACCTGTTTCCCCTCCTTTACACTCCAGTTTTGTACGATGAAGGGCTGTTTTTTGGTAGTCTCGCAGGACTCGGCGGGAACAGAGGGAGAATACATGAGGAAACAATGTTGGAGAGAGATCCTGCCAGCATGGAATTCGCCTCTGGAACACTTGGTCTTTTCGAGAGAAACTTGGGTCTAAACATACAGTGGATTGCCATGCAACATCCTTCCTAAATGAACGCGAGAGACAACCCAAGAAGACTCGGTAGCGAGAAAGTCCGCGTCCGCGATGGTCAGGATGAAGCGGAAGGCGCCAGTTCGATTCTAGCCCGGGTTGTAGGTATCTCAGACCGTTGTTTATTCTCTTTTTTTTGCATGAATAAATGCAGAGAAGATTAGAGAGAGAAATGGAATCAGGATGCTTCAATTTATTCTGGGTAGCGGACTTGATTTTGAAATGGTTATCTGGGAGATAAAATTTCACCCAATATGTGCCCAAATCAAAGTAAAATGCAACCGAGGAAAGACTCGGTAGCGGATGGTCCGCATCTGCTCTCCTTGCAAGGGGAATGTGCGAGGATCAAGCGGAAGATGCCGGTTCGATTCTGGCCCGAGTCGTACAGGATGATGCAGAGCGTTTTTTGGTAGTCTCGGAGGACTCGGCGAAAGCGAGAAGAAAGATCTCAGGGGAGAAGCCATGTGAGAGCGGCGGAATATTGTGAGCACTTGATTGATTTCTGAGACTCGATTTTATTTTTGTGCTGGTCGGTTAAAAGAGAACTTACGCTGATGGATGGCTATGCAACACTGGCATCCCTCCCAATGACGGTGAGATGCGACCCAGGAAAGACTCGGTAGCGGAAGCTCTGCGTCCGCCAGGGACGTCCGGAGCGTGCAAAAAACCTCAAGCGGATGACGCCAGTTCGATTCTGGCCCGGGATGAGGGCCAACAAATAACACCATTTCTTTTTTCTTCCAAGTTCGTAATTTCGCAAGACTTGTCGAAAACCGAAGCAAAGGCTCTTGAGGAGAGACAACGTTGCAAGTGGGTATGTGGTGAGCGTATGATTCAACCTCACTCGAGTTTGAAAATCAAGAGAAATCCGAGTCTAAGCTAATTTTGGACTGCCATTCATCCTCCCAAAGCAGTGAAGTATAACTGACGAAGACTCGGTAGCGGGAGGTCTGCGTCCGCCGGAATGTATATGTAGACAAGATACACATCAAGCGGAAGGCGCCAGTTCGATTCTGGCCTGAGTCACTCCTTGGAATGCGTTTTTTCCCTATTTTTTCGTCATAGTCCACGACCTGGCGAAAACACGGAAATAAATCCGGAGAGAGAAGGGGATGCGGCGAGGAAATAATTTAACCGTAGGATTTTGAAATTTTCGACAGTTAGTTAGCGCAGACAGTGGGTTTAATGTCCAACTTGGACGTTCCTCCTAAACGAAGTGGAGATAACCCATGAAAGACTCGGTAGCGGAAGGACCGCGTCCGCTGGAGATCGTTGAAATGAGCAGCAATATCAAGCGGAAGACGCCAGTTCGATTCTGGCCCGGGTCGTAATCAAGAATGTAACAGGTGTTATTTTTTGCGAGAAGAGATCCGCAGAGATGGAAGAGTTTGGAGGGGGATGGGTACTCTGGACAGCAGTGAACTTCGCTCTAGTCTCTGAAACATGAATAGATTTTGGAGAGAAACCAGAATCTAAGCAGACATGGATGGCTATGCAACGTGCGTTGAATTCTGCGTAAAAGGATCTAACCCAAGAAAGACTCGGTAACGGAAGGTCCGCGTCCGCTGGCGATTTGGACGCCTACGAGTGGCATTAAGCGGAAGGCGCCAGTTCGATTCTGGCCCGAATCGTACGAGACGACTGTGAGAGTTTTTGTCTTTGTTTGCTCTCGGAAATTGTCGAGAGCAAAAGAAAGATCATGAAGGGAAGCAGACTCTGTGAGCATAGAATTTAGCTCCCAAGATGAGTTCAAGATGAGGCTATTGCCATGTAAACATCACAACCGGTAGCTAACAAATTCAAGCCTCTGTGGCGGATGATTCGCGTCTGTTCTGCTTAGACTGAGGTCGCTGAAGACCACGGTTGCGCAGAAGACACCCGTTCGATTCGGGCACGAGCCATGTCCGGACTGAAAACCCTTTTTTTCGTCCCAACGTTTTGACGAACACACGACGCAGATATAAACACTTTTATCTGGAGCGGCCTGGATTCACAGGGCCATACTAGTCCCCAATTGGATTGGTGCGCCAAGCGTCCCGAGCCGGCTCGCTCCTTTGACATTGACAGTGACAACCGGATCAATTTCGAGGTTCGCGGGTTCCCAAAATGGCAACGCACGTTCGTCGCTCCCAAAGCGGTAACTCGGTACATCTCTCGAATGTTTTTGGATTTTAATCTCGGTGACCCCTTTCTGTCTCCTACTTGACTCTACGCTCGAGGCTGTTCCTGTGCGGTGCGGACCCGCCTTGGCGCGACGACGCACGTTCGTGGGACTTGAAGTTGCCCCCGTCGCCGTCGAATCAGTCCGTCATGATAATCTGCCGCACACACCGACGCGCCGTGATTTCGACCCTCAGCGCTAAGAATACCTCCTCAGCCAAGGAAAGACCGCTGAGGGCGTCGCGTCAAGATAACCATCCAGACCATGCTGCGCCCGCTATATATAATGAACTGTCTCCATTTCACGGGAGCCGCTCTATGATCGGATCTCGTGACCTCTGGCTGGCACCGTCGAAGTCAGCTGCCAGAGAATACATACATACACCCGCACAAAGGCCAGCGTTTCTGTTCAACAGCTCCGTCGAGGCGGTGGCACACCCTTGCAAGCCCAACTGGAGCCTGAATTCAATTTTCATCGCAGACTCGATTTTCGAGCTCATTTTGGACTCAAATCGACGACCGTTTGTGATGGCCAAGCAAAAGGCGAGGACCGTCCAGGCACATCCGACATCACGTCGTATGTATGTGTAACTTTTCTGCTTCTAATCGGGGCAAAGTTCAGTCCGAGATCCCGCATCCGCGCTAACGCAAACGATGAGGGTGGTAGTCGTCTCCGTTTCTATCCATCGATTGAGGAACTGCCGTCCTTCCTGTAGACTCAGTAGAGCGGCTGAGAGTCGCCACAGGGGCCAGCTCTGCAAACGCAAAAAGGAATTGCAGCGCCTTGACAGCTTTGAGCCGAAGGACCGCATAAGGAAGGTTTGACATGTGCGTGGATCAGCTTCCAAGTATATATAACCACCGCCAAAAATCCCACCGCTTTTGATCTCCTCATCTCCCCTCCCCCACCATGGACACACACTCCGACAGGTCCTCTGGCAAAGAGCACCACTTTGTCCTCGATGAGCGTCGCAGGGCTGCTCTCGCGGAGATTGACAACGGTGTGTGGCTTCTTATCCGCTGCTGCTGACCCTAATTTCCTTCCGTGTCCCAGCACAGTTCAGGTGTGCTTTTTTCGTCCGCCGGTGCTGGCTCAGTTGCTGAATTCATTATTTGTACGCTAGTTGGTTCCACGTCAAAGTCTGCCTCGTCGCCGGTGTCGGATTCTTCACCGATGCCTACGACATCTTCGCCATCAACATTGGCGCTCAGATGCTGGGTTACGTCTACGGCCACGGTGCGACCTGCGCTGCGCTCTTATCTGTACTCCTCTGACGACGCTCCGCGGCAGGCTCCCCCGGAAAACTCGCTACAAACACCCAGGATCTCGGCGTCAAAGTCGCAACTCCCGTCGGCACCCTCTGCGGCCAGCTCCTCTTCGGTTGGTTGGCTGATATAGTTGGACGCAAGCGCATGTGTACGTTGTCGTCGCTGTATATCCGACCCCGCATTCCCCGCGCTGACATACATTACGAAAAGACGGCGTCGAGCTGATTATCATCATCATCGGAACCTTCGCTCAAGCCCTCTCCGGCGGCGCACACGCCGTCAGCATAATCGGCGTCCTCGTCGTCTGGCGCTTCTTCGTGCGTCTCTTCCCTCCCCTCTTGCTTCCTTCTTTCACTTTTGCTAATCTAATACGAATTACTTGCGCTGCGCAGACTGGCATCGGCATCGGCGGCGACTACCCCCTCTCCGCCACCATCTCCTCCGAATTCGCCGCGACGCGCATCCGCGGGCGCATGATGACCGCCGTATTTGCGTCGCAGGGCTGGGGCAACTTCGCCGCCGTCCTCGTCGCCTTCGTCGTCACCGAGGCCTACAAAAACAAGATCATCGCTGACCCCTCCATCACCCAGCTCAACCACGTCGACTACATGTGGCGTATACTCATTGGTTTGGGCTGCGTCCCCGGCGTCGTTGCGCTGTACTTCCGGCTGACAATCCCCGAGACCCCCAGGTAAGCCGGAAGAACGCCGGGATCGGCCGCTGAACGAGGACTGATTGACGAAACCTAGGTTCACGATGGATATTGAGCGGAATGTGTTGCAGGCGGCGGAAGATATTGATGGGGTGTTGACGACGGGGCGGTTTGATCATGATCCGGACGCTATTGTTCAGAGGGCGGACGCGCCGAGGGCGTCGTGGGCGGACTTTAAAAGGCACTTTGGGAGGTGGGAGAATATGAAGGTCCTCATCGGCACGTCGTACTCCTGGTTCGCGCTCGATGTGAGTCCTCTCCTTCCTCCCATTCATCCGTCCTCCTCCAGTCTCCGCCCTTCCTCCTCCTTAATCGCACACATAAATCTCACCTCTCCGCTTACACCTTCAGATCGCTTTCTACGGCCTCGGCCTAAACTCCTCCAACATCCTCACCGCCATCGGCTTCGGCGCGCCCCCGACGAAAGACACGCATGGGATCTACCAGGCCCTGCATAACGTCTGCGTCGGAAACCTCATCTTCAGCGTCGCCGGTCTCATACCCGGATACTACGCCACGTTCTTTTTGATTGACAGCTGGGGAAGGAAGAAGATCCAGCTAATGGGATTCACAGTGCTTACAGTGTTGTTTATTATTATGGTGGGTGTCGTCCTTGTCTCTCCCTCCCTTCCTTTCGTCGGCGGTGAAGAGATGCGCTGACAACGCTCGCCCACAGGCTTCGGCTACATCAAGCTCCTCTCCACCACCTCCGGCAAGAATGCCTTCGTCTTTCTCTACTGCCTCACCAACTTTTTCCAAAACTTCGGTCCTAACACCACCACTTTTATAATACCGGGCGAGGTCTTCCCCACGCGCTATCGCAGCACCGCGCACGGGATCAGCGCCGCGAGCGGGAAGCTCGGCGCGATCGTGGCGCAGGTGGGCTTCTCGCAGATGGTGAATATTGGGGGGACGAACAAGTTTATTCCACATATGTGAGTTTCTCCTCTTCCCTTTAAGGATGCGCTGACGCTTAATCATCCTTTCACCAGCATGGAAATCCTCGCCTTCTTCATGCTCACGGGTATCTTCTCTACGCTCCTCCTCCCCGAGACCAAAGGCTTCACGCTCGAGGAGCTCTCGAACGAGAAGCAGGAGGGCTTCCTGCGGGGCCCGACGACGCAAGTCGAAGTGCACGATGGGATTGTGGTGGGGAAACGGGTGTAGGGATGCGAGGGCTTTTTTATCTATGTAGTGTGCGGCTTTGTTTAATGTACAGTTCTACATTTATTTTGTGCGCTG